TACAAGCGTACGACATGGCAAATTTTAGTACGCCAGTTTCAATAGTTTAATTTTTATATTACAGAAAATTTACCTTACGTTATGACCTTTTTGAAATTGTACAWTTTATTATTTTAAAATCACTTAACAATTATAATAATATCATTAAAAATCTACTTTAGGCCTTAAATAATAATCTAACTTTTTAATTGTATAATAGGTCAATTCATAAAAACAGGTGAAAGAAAATTTGACATATGATACGTGTGTAAGACGGAGAAAACACATACAAGGTGAGACATCCTCTTAAAAAGTTTTGATATAAAGAAAAAAGTTATCTTTTTGCTATACTTAGCACAAACTTTGAAATAATTAAGWATAAAATACACTTAAGTAGTAAAAGGAAAACATAAATGTTTTGTAAATAAAAATTTAAAAATATGCATCGTTTTTCTGAAACTGGCAAACGATAAATTTTGGATCTTTGTTGTTAAACCCATCCTTTAATTATTATAGGTACTATAATAAATAAAATGAATTTCTAACTCGATCTGCTATACATCAACAGTAGGAAAGTATATAGAACATACAACCCCCACAACTTAAACTTTAATGTAGATAAGTTTATATATATATATAAGTATATTTATTTATGAATAATTTAAAAAATGGATTTTTATTGTGGCTATAATGCTATAAGATTTTGTCATCCTCACCAGTGTCGTAATAAACGGTTTCTATATTAAAATTGTATTGTACTTTAAAATATATGTGTGCTAACACAATCATTGTTTCTAACTCATCTTTACTTTAAAATAACTTAAAGTTACATTACTAGAATAATATATTAATTAATAATAATAATAATAATAATAATATATACATCATCTTATATTAAGTAACTACTATTTTAATGAAGAAAATATGGATAATTAATAATGTAGTGAAAGAATATTGTAACATGTTAACTATAATTGTGTATACAAATGAAACAATTATTTGATAAAAATACATTTCGTACTTAATTAAGCAAT